TAAAGCACTTAACCCATATATACTAAAGAATTTAATAAATATTTCTTGTTTTATAGTCCTTAAAACTTGAAAAAAAGCTCACTCTGAATTTAAAACACTTCAAAAATGTTTTAGGAGAATGAGAAAAACTCCTACGGAAAGATACATCTTATAAATGAATCAAACTGCAGTGTAGTATAGTTTGGTGCTTCAGATTGTTTTATAAAGCAACTGAAAATCAGGGTCTAGGAGTTAGACTTACCTTTCTTGCTGGGTTTATAAGAAAAGTGGATTAGATTGACTGAAGCTGGGTTGGCTCAGAGGCAGGCCGCCACTCCCTAATGCCTAACAAATATATTTCCTTTTCCCCAAACACTCAACTGCACTGTATTTCCCACTTCCCTTGGAGTTACACATGGTCATTAGAGTCCACAGTTAGCATGGGGAAGGAGTCATGTACCAACTTCAGATCTGGCTTATAAATATGTCATATAGATATGACACTCTCTCTATGTGGTATGGATGGAGAAGTACTAAAGCATGTGTTGAAGATAGTGATGGAGTGATGAGATGGAATGAGCCCAATTTTCTAAATCACTGGTTGGAGAAGAACCTCCTAACCAGGAATTCTGTGCTGCTTTGTGATGAGTGAGAAACAAATATTAATATGCTTAATATGCAAAGATTTGGAGGTGTATCTGTTACACCATCTAAACACAGTGTAAGACATGCTTTACCATCTGAAGTCAATATAAGAGAGGATGTACAGAATAGCAAAATGGGGAGAATCTTTTCCATGGAGTCCAAAACCTTCCTCCAGGATAAGAACTGGCTCCAGGTTGATTTGGCAATCCTTTGGCTACCCCCTTTCTCTACTCTGGCTGCACTGAGTGAAAAATGCCAACAATGACTCAAAACACCTTTGGTTTTCTATGCCTCTGCAGGGCTTGCAATGAAGTCTAATAAAAACAGAAAGTGTGAGAAGGAAGCATCTGAAGTGGGAAATTCTGTTAGGCTGGCCCATAAAAGATGAGTGCTATGGGCAGTAAAATGAGCTAAGAAGGAAAACATGATGAATGTTTTCTCAGCTTTATGCAGGAAGGTACCCCTTTCACCATCCCACATGGCACTGCATGCCTGGCTGGAGAAAGCAAGGAGATCCGCGTAGGGCCTGACTCAGGAAGTGTGGCCACTGAGCTATTCCTGGGGCCCTGGCTGGGGTGGGGGATCCATTGTGGGGATATAACTCGACTTCTCCTTCACTTCCCAGCCCCTACTGGTCCTTTCTGAGTTGAGGTTCCCACTGAGATATGAGAGGAAATCCTAAAGTTTGACAAGTTACATGGCCAGTACACTACACATGGGAAAAGAAAATCCAGAGTCATCTTGTCAGGAGCAGCAAGCAAATGATGGATTTGACTTATTACAGTGAACATCTTCAACTACTGCCCCTCTCCCGAAGTTCATTGATCCAAATATATGTGTCTTTACAGTGCCTCCAGCTGGAGTAGACTCCTTTGTCCTCAGTTTATGCAGTTCCCACAAATTCTTCAAGGTACAGTTCGAGTTCAACCTCCACGAACTCATCACTTTTTATTTTATTCCCTATAAATCCCATTTTTGGAAAACTATAGTAGGGGAAATCCCTGAGTAGGAGCCCTGTATGTTATTTACGAGCTCTGTGATTTTGTGTACATTGTTAACTTCTATGAGTTTTAGTTTCCACACCTATAAAATAAGGATTGAAATACAAATCCTGTGGGGATTATAGGATATTGCTTTGCATAATGTGTGACATGTAATAAACACTCAATAAAAATTAGTTTTCTCCTGAAATTCTGAAGCATATATGACCTTTACCACCAACTTAATATTTTTGCTGTTCGTTCCTTCATATGCATATACCTTCATTACTTCAATTTTTTTACCTTTAAGGTAAAAATTTACACGCAGTTCTGAGAATATTATGGTATTGAAAGGTATATTTAAATTTTTTTGCTTATTGTTTTTTATTATTAATTTGATTATCAATTGGTGATCATTAGTTATAATCATTTATCAAAGCCAGATAGGAGGGATGCCTCTAAGCAAGTTATGAAGATATGACTTTATTAAGGTCATGTAGAAGATAAATTCAGATATGAAGACTGTCACAATGACCCTCGTTTCAGATGATTTGGACAAATAAGAAGCAATACTACAAAGCCATCATACGTCCAAAAATGACTGGCCTTAGCTGAAGCAAGACTAACAGAACATATTTTCCAGAAAAGACATGGCTGTTCTCAGTAAGAGTTCAAGTCAGCAAATTCTAAGATAATGTCTACACTTATACTAGTTCAAATATCACCCACTTAGATCAGTGCTCTAGAAAACCTATCTAAATAATTATTCATCTTCATTCCCTAGTCATTTTTTATCATCCAATTCATCTGTAATTTCTTCAAAGTAATTATTACAATCTGAAAGTATTCATTTATTTGCTAGTGTATTCAGTATAAGTCTCGAAGAGATCATGAGCTTCTTGAAGGCAGGAACATCTCTGATTGTTCACCGCTAAGATTTCAGTGCCTAGAGCAGCACTTGACACAGTGGCATTAAAGCAAAAAGCTTTTGTGAAAATGTACCTTTGTGACTGGTTTCCTACTGAAGTAAGTCATTATTTTAGTTCCTCTGAAATCCTGAAAGGGCTAAGGAATGAGCTAAACTTTTGCCATCAGCCAAACATTTCTGCTCTACAGAAGATGTTACTCTACAGTCCACAAGAAGTTTCTGAGTGTCGCCAGCTTGATTAAATTGCTTTTTCAATATAAATGCTGTAATTTCCCCCCAAAATTTATTTTATTGCCTCTTAAAATTGGTATTTCATTCTTAAATGCACCAATTCCTTACATCTAAAAAAAGAACAACACTAAGCATGCTTCATAGCTCAAGTTCTACCTCCTTAATGAAAAGAAACTCAACTTCCCTTCTTTCCTTAAGCAACTCCTCTGAATTTTCAGAGCTGTTCATGTCATTTGCTTGTTGTATATATTACTGCCTGAAATGTGAGCCCTTTCAAGAAAGAAATCACAGCGTATATTTGGTGTTTTTACCCTCCACTACATATAATGACTGTTTGCTAGCTACTATCTATTAATTACTTTATCATAGATTACTATGAGGGACAACAAATCTCTGATAATTTAGGTCCCTTTAATTTGGAGTGAAAAATAATTCATCCATGAAATTATTTTGCATTATCCTTGAAAAATGGATTCACCATTAAGAGTAAATATTTACTGAAATCCTGTAATAGGTTGGGAACCTTCTCGGGTATTGAGGATGCATGGATGAACAAGACAGCCTATCCCCAAGGAAGATGAGCAAGGTGGAGCATCTTAACCTCCAGAGTGATAGTTCTTCTAACAAACAGCCCTTTGTATTAGTATAATAAATTTCCACTATTTCATTAAAGAGAATTAGAAAGGGATAGTCTTAACATCTCTTTCTCCAGTTTATGTTAAACAAAATATTACTACTTCTTCAGGTATACATGGAATGGAAATATATGCTTGAGTTCAGATGTAACTGACATGGATTGTTTTAACAAATCCAAATTACAGAAGTATTTTGTATTTCGTAGTCTAAATGATTATTGAAATCATTCTTAATATTAAAATAAAATATGGAGATTTCTTTGTCACATGTAGCTTACCAGGTTATGATTATTTACCTAAAGCCTCAAAGGGCAGTAAACCAATGAACAAGGTTTGGTTTGCTTATAAAGCAGAAAGATACATCCAAATGTTTCCTAGGTAGTCATCTTTGATCTACCATCCTACCAAGGGGTAACTCAAGGTTTCCTAATACGAGTCTTTTTAAGTTTTGACAGCAGGTCATTCGGAGCCTGAAATCCATGGAAGTACTCACTTGATCATTGTCTCAGCTATTTTTGCAAATTATGATGGCTAATGGAACCATCTGATGTTCCAGTCTTTGAAGTTATACAACCAAAGCAATGATTAAGGTTTTGCTCCCCAAATCCAAATCCATTTCCAGGAAATAAATGAGCAACCCAGCCCCCCCAGATGAGTCAATGAGCAAGTAGTCTATTAAGCAGGAAATAGTCTGGGGTGGCTGGGAGTAAGAATAGGAGATCTCATGTCCTGGTTCCCAACACGTAAGTACAGGCAGATCCTTTACCTTTATAATCCTACTTACCCATTTACAAGCAGTATTTCTGCCATGTCCAACATACACAGCTACCATGAGATTCAAATTAGATAACATGTCAAAGTGCTTTTTAATAAAAGTGCATAGTCCAAGCACTTTATTATTTTATTAAAAATTGCCACTTGGTACATAACAACTCCTTCCATGCCACAGCGATGCATTCGGGAGAGAGTGTATATTTACAATTAAACATAAGAAGTAAAATCTATCCTCAGAGGCATTCTTGCTTACACGCCTTAAGATATTTTTTTTTTCTTGATTGCCCAAATGCTTCGTGGGACTGTTGGAGCTCTGGCAGGATGACATGGTACTAATTCCACAGACTCAGAGTTCAGACTACCAACTCCATCGCTCACTATCTGAGAGCCATTGTCTAGTATTTAACATTTTATAAGTTTGCTTCCAGATCTACCAAATGACTATTAAAATATCCCTATCTCATAGAAGTGTTGGCAAATGAGTCAGTTGTGAAAAAAACAAAACAAACATGGTTTAGTATCTTCTACCAGGCAGGGATGAAGATAGCTACTACACACACACAGATTTCTGATCATACGAAAGCAAATATTCCATTACAGTCAGAAGGCCTGGCTTCCGAGCTGTTCGCTTGTATCGTTCTGGATAATTCACTTAATCTGTCTGGAGCTCAATTACTAATTGTAAAGCGGGGGTGGTAATATTTTACTTCATGGTATTTGTATGAAGATCACATAGAATAGTACGTTTGAAACTGCTGTGCTTATGTAAGGCAGAACGCAGATGAGCAAGGCTGTTGCTTAGTTTTCTGCATGAACAAACACACTGGAAACAATTGCAAAGATTTTATTTAGCGGCTTTCTGTGCTTGGCACTTAGAAACAGTTCCGTGCATCAGGGCAAATTTTTATACACCTTTACTTCATACATATTTTACACACCCATTTTTGCCCCCTTTTCAATATTCAAAATATTGGATTTCCCACTAGGCATATAAATACATTTATCTACAACACTTCAAAACCAAAAATCTTAATATCTGTATTATTTTATTTGGTATTATTTGCATTTCCACACCATTTTAAAAATTTAACTTGCACCAAGCTTCACTTGTTTTCTTATCATTAAAGGACTTGAAGGGAAAAGGAAAGATGAAGGAAAAACCCAAAACTTCAAAATGCAATGAACTATTTGATATAAATGGAGATCTATGGGCAGGTAAAAATGTATAGTAGACCCATCTGCAATTTCCTGGACCATGACAGGTTTCTCCAGCACAGAGGTTACAAGAGGCAGAGTCTCGGCCCAGGGTCTGCATCTGGCACATAGAGGCCAGGCCTCTATTTCTTGGCATCACCCGGGGAGGGGGCATAGAATTCTTCTATCTTCACACTTCCCTGTCCTCCCCCTGCCATGCCGCTTGTTGTGAGACTGGCACTTCCCATGTGGTGCACCTCTTCTGGTTACACTGGATAGAGCTGTGGGATCAGAGACATTCCTTGCCCCAACCCCTTGCACAAGTGCCCTGACCGTGCACAGTGTCCCAGAAAGATTTTATCCTCAGTAACTCCTCCATTCTTTCTATAGCCTGTAGGTTTGGGGGGAAAATAAAAGCACAACACATTTCCTTGGTAAATTAAAACTCTCATTGCTCACACCTTCTCTCTCAGTCTTCCTCTCCACTCTTTTCTGCTCTCTATTCTTTCTCTTCTCTCTCCTTCAGCTTCTCTCACTCCCTCTTTTCATAGGCACCACTGGGAATACCAATGACAGCACACTGAGTGAAGTGAGTCAAAGTTTAAAAGCAATTGTTTTCAGGAAGCCAAGTCCAGTTGTAGTACTGATATCTTTCCAAGCTCATCGACAGGGAAGGGCTCCAGGATACACGGTACATTCTGGAAACAGCATAAGCTGCAGCAGGGATAAGCTGGTGGCTACTGCTGGCCCAGTTCATCTAGTGTTGTACATAGATTCTTGGTGAAAGCACCATTCTGGGCCTCCCTCCACAGAGTTCACCCAGTTCAGAGTCAGTGTGCAGAATGTCTGTATATGTATGAGTTTGTCTATGATTATGTGTATGTGCATGTAAGTATGCAGGTGTGTACAGGTAGGTCTGCACGTGTGCATTTGTAACCTTTCGTGGCTGCGTCACACTAGCATCTCTCTTAACGTCATTATAAAATGATTATTCAGTCTATTCAAAGGCCACTCTGGCATAGACAATGGTTTATAAAACTAAGGTTTGAGAAGGCAGGCCACGGAGTTGTGGAGGATTCACTGCAAGTATCCTTCAGTGGCTGAAAAGTGTCTCTTGTTGTATGTGTTTTTCTTCTCCACAAAAAGTACACAGTTCTGTTTCCTAAAGGCACTGGGCTCCCAAAGAGGAGGATCCACCTATGGAGACTCTGAGTCTTGACTGCCATAGGCTCTGTGGAGTTTGAATTGCCCTTTAGACCATGTGTACAGACATCTGGGAGGAGGAGCCTGGGACTGCCCCATACTGCCGGCCATCACAGGTGTTGGTTGCCTGCTGATTATTAGGGGAAGGGCTAATCATGTGCATGCTGTGCTCCATCCCCGTGGGCAGGTACTGCCTCTCTCCAAAGGCCCCATTGGAAGGAGAAGAGCAGAGTAAAGTGCTTTGAGAGGCGCTCAGTTTTTCTGGGCTTGCAGCTAGCCTGGGGGAGGTGGGGAAATTGTATCCATACAGGTTGTAGGGGTTGTGGAGGGAGAAAGCATTGTAGGAGCTCTGCTGCATGTGGCTGCCCCCGAACATGTGTGGTGATGAGGAGCTGGAGGCTGCATTGCCTGCCTGCATGACATACTGAAACTGGGAAGCGGGGAAGGACCCCAGCTGGCCACCGTAAGCTTCCATCTTGCTGTTGCTGGGCAATGAGGGAGGAGTTGGTATTCCTGAGATCAGGGATGGAGTCCTCTGAGACATGAAGGTTTCAGAGGGCTGAGTGGCTGAAGCAGTGCCACTCTGGAGCCTGTTGTAGCCACTGTCACTCAGCCCTGGATAGCTTTGCAAGGCAGCCATGTTGCTTCGGGCACATGGTGGATAATCAGAGAGGTTTAGATTACACAGCTGGCTTTCTCGGCAGCCCACGTTGAAAGTGTTGGGGGCCAAATGGAAAGCTGGAGGAGAACAGGATGGAGACAGAAGATGAGAAGAAGCTGAAGGAGACGGTGTCCCAGTGCTGGAGGTGGTTGGAGAAGTGCCTGTGCTGCCCCCTGAAAATGAAACAGAAATACTATTAAGCGTTGTAAGATGCATTGTTGAGGCCAAATGTAAGCCATACAGAAGATGCTTTCCAATGTCAAGACAGGCTGATTTTTACAGAACCACTGCTTCTTTTTAACTCAAAACCCTATGCTAAATGATTTGACCTATGCATGTGTACTTACACACATCACCAAAGAGAGGACAAAGGTGACAGAAAAAACACTAAACTGTTTTTTTCTGGAAAAATCTTCCTGACTTATTTTTTTAAATTATAACAAGCTGTTCAATAATCATTTTTCAGGCTTACTTTGGCAGCACATACACAATAATCATTTTTCCTCATCTCACCATCCAATTCGCTTTTTAATAAGACCTCTAGTGATCAGTTTTCAAACCTGCCAGCTCAATTTTTCCCATTCTCAATGGACATGCATGACATATGTATCTCTTTTTTTTCCCAGTACTGGGAATCCAACTCAGGACCTTGCACTTGCCAGGCAGGTGCAGCGCCACTGAGCTACATCTCTGGCCCTTACATATGTATCTTAAACAGTGATTCTTTCTTACTTTTCCATCTTTAGTCTTTTAGCCTAAAATGTAGGACACTAAAGTAGGAATCTTATCTCAAGGGAAACAAGGTGCTGGGGCAGGGTGCCAAGTCAGGACTGAGGCATATGAAAATAAAGCAGAGGGGCCCAAGCACTGACATCTGGGGAAAGATAGTAAAGTTCTATCATATGAAGCACATATTATAAGCCCAATTATGATAGCTAGGTTGGAATAAAGCAAGGCTGGTCAGAGAAGAAATTCTGATCTAGAGACTTTGCTGATCTTCCTTCACAGGCATCTGCTCAGTTCAGAGACTAAAAGCTCTGATTGGAGTCCTGGATTCCGCACATCTATGAGGACAAAAACTGTCCATAAACTGACCTGAAAGTCACGAGTGCAGGATTCTACTCACAGCTCTGCCACACCAACCACCCATACGACCCTGGACACTTCACTTGCCCTCTCTAGGTTTCAGTTTCTTCATCTAGAGATGAGAAATTGAGTTAGATCAGTGGTTCTCAAGTGAAGACTACCTGACATTGAAAACTTCTGATATTCCAGGATCCCCTCTCCAACCAGCTAAAGAGAATTTCTGAGCACGGGACTTCCACATCAAAAAAGCTCCTCGAGCAAGGTTGGTGTTCCGCCATGATTGAGAGCTAGTGATGCAACCTGATTTTCTCACTGCATCGTACCCACAGTTGCAATTCTGAAACCTGAGTGTACATGAGAATCAGGTAGTGGGCTGGTTGAAAAGCAGATGCTGACTCCATTCCCAGAGTGACTAAATCTGTAGTTTTTCTCAGGGCCGGAGACTAAACAGCAGGACAGCATCCACTTCCCAGCAGAAGTCAAAGACTGGTGAGTGATAGGGCTGCTGAGTCCTTCACTGAATTCCAGAATGAGAGGCTGCTTTGCCTTACATACGGAATCTCCCTCGAGGATTCAAATTTCCTCCCTCGCAGCATTATGGTATTTTCCATAACAGGTGAGAGCTGTGACATCCCAGGGGCATGGTAACCATGAGCTCACTCACAATACTTGTTGAGACTCTAAGAATCTAACCACTTCTATAAGAAGGCAAAGGACATTTTAAATGGAAAGGAACAGGAGCAAGGTTTTCATGAATGAGGAAAACGTGCAAAAAATCAGGATTTAAAGACATTGGGATACAAAAGACACAATCCTACTGTTTTAGGAAAAGTGGAATGGGTCCCAGATATGTGGACTAAGAGCCAGATGCCTCTAAGAGGAACTCAAAGTTAATTTTTAACAGGTTGAATAAAAGCCTCATCCTATACTCATAGGTACAGGTAGCAGTATTGGCTCTAGAAGTACAAATTTGGCTCTTGTCAATAGTTTTTTTTCACAGTTACATTTTTATAAAGTTTGACTAGTATCTATCACCTCTGCCTTGGTTAAATGAATGTTCATGATGCAACTGAATCTACAGTCAATACAATCAATTGCTAATTTTAGTCATCTCAGGAAATTCTCTTTCTTCGCGTCTAGCTCACAATTTAAGCTCTTGTAGGGGAGGTAAGATTGTTTTCACCCCACATTCAGAGATAAGGCCAGTACTGTAAATACTACCAGCAGCTAGCCATGGTGGGGAAGAGCCCAGGCCGGAGTCCAAGTCCATGGGTCTCTGCCCAGCTCCTGCCCACAGCAGTGCGGACTACTTCTCAATTCTCTTCAGTTGTGAAATGAAGACTTTAAACTAAAAGGGCTTCCATTTCTGACCTTTTCAGCCTTGTAGCTATGTCTGAGGATTAAAGCAGTGTAAAAAGCAAATGGTCACTTGTCGGGAGCAATGCTACATAATTTTAGGGTAAAATCATTTGGTTAGCTTAGTTCTCCTGCCTACAGCCCAGCTATGGAATTCCAAGCCATAATTGCATTTTGGCCTCCGGTCTCAACTGAGACCTCAGTGATCCGGTGATGCTGTCTGTGATTCTCCAGGACAAGAAACATCCTGGGAGCTGAAAACATCCTGGGAGGAACAAACATCTACTCAGTTCCTCCTTGTTCTTGGATTGTTACATCTTGTTTACCTGGATGTACTGAACTCTCTGCAAGTCATTTGTTACACTTTGTTTCTCCCCATGTACTGAATAAAAGGTGCTGTAAACTGGGGGCTTTCGTCTTTGCCACCCAGAGCAGCACTGATCAGCTCAGCTTTTTCTCAGTCTCATTTTTCTACCTTTCCTGTAATTCGCCTTGGGCTGCCGTGGCTCGCAGGAGACTAGGACTTACTGCAGAGGTTCTAGTAATGTCCCCTTTCCCTGTTCCCTACAGTCACTCCAAGTACTTTTCAGGGAATCATTTTACTACAATGAAGGCGCCCTGGAAGGGGAAGATTCTAGAAAGAGAAAGGAGACCATCTCATGCTACCTGTTTTTAAACAGCCAAATGGCCTAGCCCCACTGTGTTTTACATAAAGCTCAGGGAATTCATTTTCTTCTCTTTGAAGCATCATACACATTTTCTCCTTTTCCACTCTAACTGCCATGAAGTTCACTGAAATAAGTGCTATAGCGCAAATGGAGAAACTTGACTCCTGTTGTAAAGAAATTTGTGTTTTACAAGATATGGGTCTGATCTCTTCTCTTTGAAAGCCTGTTCTGCTCTCCCTGACCTGGTGTTTACGTGGCCCCTGAGGAGACCACCTGTTCAGCATGCTGCACTATCCTGTTATAGGTATGATCCTTCACGCACCAGCCCTAGCCCTACCACAGGAAGTGTGAGATGGAGCAGATGACTTTCTGCAATTCTAAATGATTTTCTCAGATGGCCCAGAATGGAACGAATGGTACTGATTTAAGGCCTCAGTTGGTTTCACTATAAAAAAAAAAAAAAAAAGAAAAAAAGAGGGGAACTATTAACAAGCTACAGGGATTTCTGCTGTGCAGATGAGAGGCACATGTTAAAATGTTTGTAGTCAGCTTGCTTTGGCTTTTAAATGACATTCACTGGAAATGAGACTCAGTGGCCTGCTGAACTTCATGGGGTGGAAGCCTCCATATGAACTAGTGTTTGAAGGGGAACCGAACCTAACCAAGAGAAGGTCACATTCCTTCCATTCACTTTGAAGAAATGCTCTTATGCACTTGCCATACTAGTACAGATATTAGCTATTTTTCAAAGCCCACATAGAGAGAGAAGACTATGGTATTCATTTTGCAGAGAAGCAAACTGAGGTACTAAGAAGTCTTTATTCTCTTATGATCTAATAGCTTGTCAACTGTTAAACAAGATTGGGAGTGCCAGGCAAGTGCTAAATAAGCTTAGGGAAGCAGCCCACCCTCTCTGAGCATTTCAACAGTTTGCTGAGTAGAGACCACTGGTAGAGACTGAGTAGAAAAAGGCTAGGCCAGAGTGGGGGCCAGGCTGCTCTGACACAGAAGGGCCAGAGCTGCCTCAAAGGGAAGCTCGCCTCCCTTTTCCATGTAACCTTCTCTTCCCTTCACCTCCATCTTCTGTGCATCTACCAGATCCTGAATATCCTAAGAGTCTTGATAAAAGATTATTTAATGGTCAGTCATGGACTGTAGAAGCAGACAAACCTAGTTTCCATCCCAGCTATCTTATCTTGCTGACTATGGGACCTTAGCAAGTCAGCCTCCCCACGTTCAGGTTCCATAACCATACAAATGGAATTACAAATGCCTATCTTCTAGGAGTGTTTTAAGAAATAAATGAGAAAATATATATTACGAAGTACTCGTAACAGTACTCAGCCTATGGGCTTTAAATATTCCCTCTCCTGAGTGGCGAAAAGAAAGGAGAAAGGAATCTCAGCTGCCAGTGGGGTGGCTCTAAAGGCTTGGCCTCTATCCAATGGAGCTCAGTATCTTGGCCTCTGCACCCACTGATGAGCATGTCCTCACAAGGGCTGGACGCCCTGTTATTATACATGAGTTAAAAGAGCCTCCATGCTGTGAATGCTGGAACACTGGGTCAAATGATGGCTGTGAACCCACCTGGCCATATTCCCAAAGGCTATGGGCTCTTCTCTGAATCATCTGTCCCATCTCAGCCCAGAATTAAAATGGCCTATACCACAGTTCTGTCTCTTCTCAGCTCAAACAAAGAAAAATGGACAAAAAAATCCCACAAATTTAACAGACTTTTTGGTGTCTTTCCCACCGTCTTCCTAGGTCTTTCATTTCTAAGAGGTGATCAAAGTATAATGCTTAATATTCTCAAGTGTTTCTGGATGAATTTCCACTGCCTCAGCTCCTTGAATCCTATTTGACGCATAGACCAAAATGAATAGTCACATATTAAAATTCATAACCAACATTAACTTGCTCCTATAGTCAAAGCTAATCGTCCAAACAACCTAAAAAAAATACATTTAGCAGTGATCCCATATAAGGACAATAACCTAGAATATACTTGTGTACCATGAAGACAAGTTAAATGTGACCGTGAAAATCCTGAATACCAAACCTGC